GCCCCTCCTTCCCCGGCGCGGGGCCGGCCGCCCCTTCCCCGGCTGGGTGCTCCCCCGGGTCCGGTCTCCCCCGCCCCTGGGGTTGCCTGTCGGCCCGCCCGGCGTCCTGGGGGGGGGCGCTCCCTGCCCTGGCGCTAGTGTGGACGAGTGCAAGAACAAGAAAGGGTGTCAGAGCAAGCTGGGGGTGTTGGCAGGGAGGGTAATGAGGGGATTGCAGTCAAGAGGCTGTGGGGATGAGGGGTAACACTACCTGGCTTCGTGCCTCTTTGCAGCAATATCTCCAGTGACACTGCAGCAGCCACACAGTCCAGGGCCGGCCTCAAAAGTCGGAAGCATTTCTGGTGCAGCCACAAGGCCCAGGACAGCCCTAAAGGTGCCTCTGCCACAGCCACGTGGCCCAAGAGGCATGAGATTCTATGGCTGTGGCCATGAGCTGGCCTTGGAAGCCAGGGGTGCAGTGGCAGCAGTGCCTCAACCCCCCAGGGCTAGCCACAGGTCATGTGGTGGAGCCTCAGCCCCAGTGCTGTCTCCTCTCCAGTGGCTGCACAGTGGAAAGGGGTGGGGCTAAGCACCTTCCCTCACAGCACATGTCCATTAGAGGACAGGGCCTAGCACTGCCTCCCTGGCAGGATCAAAGTCCTACATGGGCTGGATTCTGCCCATTGAGAAGCTTTGGCCCACTTCTACTACAGGGTTTCTCCCCTGTGTGGGCTCTCCTATGTCTAACAAGGTGTGACCACCAGTGAAGCTTTTCCCACAGTTAAGACAGCTGAAGGGTTTCTCTTCTGTGTGGGTTCTCCTATGTTCAATGAGGATTGCACTTTCACGGAAGCTTTTCCCACAGGACGAGCAGCTAAAGCAGGGGTGGCTACATGTGGCTTTTCTCCCCCAAAAGTGTGGCTCATGAAACCGCTTTTGTGTCCCCCCAAATAGCCTCTGGCTCCACTGTGGTCACCAGGGCGGTGATCCAAATGGCATCCAAGTCAGCCAAACCTAAGCTTGTTTCTTAAAGGAGCAGCCTTTTTTGCTCAACAAGTCTGGAGCAGTTCTTCGAATTTTTTCTGCAGCTGTTTGGCTTTCTTTGTTAAATGGGTTGACCATCTCTAAGCTCAAGAGTTTCTCCCCTGTGTGAGTTCTCCTATGTCTAACAAGGTGTGACTTCTGATTGAAGCATTTCCCACAGTCAGAGCAGGTGAACGGTTTCTCTTGTGTGTGGGTTCTCCTATGTCTAACAAGGTGTGACTTCTGATTGAAGCATTTCCCACAGTCAGAGCAGGTGAACGGTTTCTCTTGTGTGTGGGTTCTCCTATGTCTAACAAGGTGTGACTTCTGATTGAAGCATTTCCCACAGTCAGAGCAGGTGAACGGTTTCTCTTGTGTGTGGGTTCTCCTATGTCTAACAAGGTGTGACTTCTGATTGAAGCATTTCCCACAGTCAGAGCAGGTGAACGGTTTCTCTTGTGTGTGGGTTCTCCTATGTCTAACAAGGTGTGACTTCTGATTGAAGCATTTCCCACAGTCAGAGCAGGTGAACGGTTTCTCTTGTGTGTGGGTTCTCCTATGTCTAACAAGGTGTGACTTCTGATTGAAGCATTTCCCACAGTCAGAGCAGGTGAACGGTTTCTCTTGTGTGTGGGTTCTCCTATGTCTAACAAGGCCTGAAGCCTTTCTCACAGTCGGAGCACTTGAAAGGTTTTTTTAATGCATCAGTCTTCCCATGATTAACAAGGTTTGAACTCTGAATAATGGTTTCCCCACAGCCTGAGCAGCTGAAGAATTTCTCCCTTGTGTGGATTCTCTTATGTCCAGGAAGATTTGAGTGCAGACTGAAGCTTTTCCCACAGGTAGAGCATTTGAAGGGTTTCTCTCCTGGGTGGACTCGTCCATGTTTAATAAAAGTTGCAGAGTCATTACTAGCACAGGGCAACTGTTGACAGGGGATTTTCTGTTGAATCATTTCTCTGTTTTCAACCTTCTGCTTCTGCGAATGGATTTACCCAGTCTCTCTCCTGGACAGTTTCTCTGCTGCTTTTGTGGGCTACACTGACTCTCACAGGTCTCTCCTTCTTCCAGACTCTGAGAAATATGCCCTTCAGATCTTCCCAACAAAATCCCACATGGAGCCATTCACTCTAGTCCTTCCTGATGAAGACTGTTCTCATGGTTCTCACTCAGACTGCCTTCACCTGCCGGGACAGAGAATCCAGAGAAATTATTCCCTTTCCTGAGCTGAAAGGAAACTGTAACGATCCCGGCCCCTTCCGCCAGGGTGCAGGGTCAATATCTTTCCCTGTTTTGTCTCTCGGGCGGTTCTCCAGTACCTGACCGGGGTGGAGGGGGACCTGGGCCCACCCTCTCTCCAGGTCCCAGCACAGGACCCTAAGGGAGTGTGTCTGAGATGCGCTGCCCGACCGGGGGGGGCTATGGCCACAACGCACCGGTCCCCGGGGTTCCTACCCTGTCCTGGGCTACTTCCTCCGCCCTCTTAGGTCTGCCGGTCCTGGTCAGGTTCAGTGGGGCCTCGGGGTTAACTCACCCACGCGGGTCCCAGGATGCTCGGTTGGGGTCCGTGCAATGTCCTGCTGTCTGGCGTGAGTCCCCGCGTCCTGCTTGCCGGGGCTCTGTCCCTTTTCTCCGCTCCTCTGGCGCCCAGGCCGCCCGGCTTTTAATCCCGGAGCCCCTGCTCAGGGACGCCGGCACCTGCGCCCTGCGGGAGGGGACGGGCCCGTGCGGGGCCGGCCCCTCCAGGCAGATGCTCGGTTGGGGTCCGTGCAATGTCCTGCTGTCTGGCGTGAGTCCCCGCGTCCTGCTTGCCGGGGCTCTGTCCCTTTTCTCCGCTCCTCTGGCGCCCAGGCCGCCCGGCTTTTAATCCCGGAGCCCCTGCTCAGGGACGCCGGCACCTGCGCCCTGCGGGAGGGGACGGGCCCGTGCGGGGCCGGCCCCTCCAGGCAAGGACTCCTGCGCCTGCCCGGGCCGTCGTCCCTGGACCGGCACGTAAGAGCCGCTCGGGCTTCCCCGTGGCGCTTTCCCCCAAGCGGGGCAGAGCCGCTCCGGCGTTTCGGCGCCTGTCTCCCCCGGCGCCCCAGTGCGGGGCACGGGGTTGGGGCTCCCGATCCCCGCCGCCCCGTCACAGAAACCCTACAAGAGAAATAGAGAAGGGGGAATACACCCAAGGAAGAGCTGGAAAAATTGAATAATCATGAGCTGAGTTCATCCTCCTTTTTCATAAGCATTCCCCCACCCAGCACCCTCAGACTCGAGTTGAAGACAGGCTGAAGGATCTATCAGACTTGATGGAAATGCACAAATGAAGTGTGCTATGAGGACACATTCGTTTCTCTATCGGTTTAGCTGATTGCTCACCTGCATGGTTGTCACTGATGATCTCCCCTTCCCCACAGCACTGGAGACTTGTGATACACAGCTCTTGATCTTGCTCCACCCAAGAGATCACATGAGCTTTGGAGTCTGGAAAGCCTATTTGGGGAGCAATTAAACAAGATTTGATATTGTTCATTAAGGTTTGTGCCATTACTGCTTCCAGAGCCAGGATCTTAGTCACTCACTGAGAGGTTCCTTCCCCACCTTGCAGAGGCTGGGCTCTGGCTGGTACAAGATCCCAGGACACACTCACCTGCAGTAAAGATGCATCCCCTCACCCACATCAGGAATGGTCCAGCTGATTCCCCAGGGGAGCTGAGCACTCTGATGCACTCTCTAGGGTACAACTAAGTCTCCCTTCTGGCCTATTCCATCCCCCTGCCCCAGGGCAGGAACATACTGCTCAGAAGGGGAGCCAGGGAGGGCTGGCAGGGCTCACACTGCAGCTGCCACATGGTAGGTCACTAGAGTTGAGAGGGAAAGGACCCAGGAGAGCTCTAGAGCACAAAGGGCTCTGTCCATAAAGCTCCTGGCTGGGGGGGCCCAGCTCATCCTGCTCTTTGGTTTAGGTGCTCTACTTGAACCAAGAGGCAGGGGAAGTTGCTTGAGCACAAAATTAACCCTTGACTGGCTGTTTCAGGCACTGCCTATACTTGAGACCTCCAATCTCAACTGCCTGAGAGAGCCCTGCCAGCTCCCAATAGCTGTCGCTCCCACGGCCAGCCAGGGCAGTGCTGGGCTGTTCCAGTGGCCAGCAAGGGTGATGGGCTGTGCAGCTTCTCTGCTGGTTTTGGGTGTTGCTGCACCTCAGCTCCCCCTCGGCAGCCTCCATTCTACTCTGGCAGCAGCAGCCTTTGTGTGGTTTCCCAGCGTCCTCTTGTGGCCAAGCAGGCCTGCTATTTGGTCCCCCTCCGGGCTGCACAGAATCTACCAGAGGCAGGAAAGGACTCTGAGTCGGCACCTTTCCTATAGGGACTTAGCACAACAGCACAAGGGGACCCTGCGAGTGCTAACAGCAGCCGCATGCAGCCCCACAGCTTCGGTATCTGCTCCACTGTGCCTTTGCCTCCCCCCGATCCCCAGGCTGGCTCCCCCCATCTCTGGCATTGTTCCCCCATTGCAAGGTGGGAGGGAAATGACTGGTGTCTGTGTCACGCAGTCTCCGCCTCCCACTGCCACAATGAGCCACCCTCCCCACACGCAGCCCGAGATTTGGATCCTAGGGCAAAGCCTCCCCAGCATGCTCCCGCTCAATGGGTGCCACCTCCCCACCTCACCTCCTCGCATCTCAGAACCAGCTGCGCATCAAGTAACGGCCCCAACGGCTTCCTCAGAAACCGCACCTCAGGGACCATGAGAAGTGGCCGCGGGGAAGGGGGGCGGCTGTCTCCCTTGGCTTGCGCGTGGGGGGAGGCCCTGCTGCCAAATCATAGTGGGGTGGGTGGGGCCTGAGAAGGGAGCGACGCGGCGCAGGGGTGGGCTGGCACTGAAAATGAATGGACGGACGGAAGGGGGCGTCAGACGCCGGGCTCAGGCCAGCACTCAGCTCAGATCTGGAGGTGCCTGGCCACGCGCCTGCCCTCCTGCAGCTGGACTCCGGCCTGGCCCTGAACAAACCCACGCACGACCCGAAGCGTGGCCACTTTGTGCTGGGCTGGGCCTTGCAGCAACACGGGGGCTGTTCGGGGAGCAGGCAGATGTACAAAATAAAGAAAACGTGTGGTCAAAAATAGAATCTCTCTTTATTGAACAAAACTCGGGGAGACTGGGAAAATGAGGTGGGAGAGGGGAAGAGAGGAGGGCAACTAAAATGATCAGAGGTTTGGAATAGGTCCCATATGAAGAGAGGCTAAAGAGACTGGGACTTTCAAGTTTAGAAAAGAGGAGACTGTCTATAAAAGCATGAGTGGGATGGAGAGGGTGCATAAAGAAAAGTTCGTCATTAGTTCCCATAATAGAAGGACTAGAGGACACCAAAGGAAAGGAATGGGTAGCAGGCTTCAAACTAGTAAGAGAAAGTTGTTCTTCACAAAGCAAAGAGTCAACCTGTGGAATTCCTTGCTGCAGGAGGCTGTGAAGGCTAGAACTAGAACAGAGTTTAAAGAGAAGTGAGATCAAGTCATGGAGGTTGGGTCCATGGAGTGGTATTAGCCAGGGGGTAGGAGTGGTGTCCCTGCCCAAAGTTTGTGGAAGGCTGGAGAGGGATGGCACGAGACAAATGGCTTGGTCACTGTCTTCGGTCCATCACCTCCAGGGTCCCTAGGGTTGGCCGCTGTCGGCAGACAGGCTACTGGGCTAGATGGACCTTTGGTCTGACCCAGTATGGCCATTGTAAGCTCAGGGTCGGGGGTCTCAGTGTGGACTACCTTGATTTTCATGCACACCTGCTCCTGGGTGGCCAGGCTGGCAGCTCTCCTGCCCTAGACGGCCACTTTTCTGT